TTCGCGAACGGATCCGTTTGTTCATTATTCGCAGTCGGATCGGATACGGAGTTCGCGAACGGACAGAATACGGTGAAATACGGAATGATGCCTTGTGGTTTTCTGAAAACGGGTCGCGTGCTGTCCGTATCCGGTTCCTATTTCAACCGCGCGCGAACGCTGAGCGTCCGTAACGGGTCCGTTCGCATTTTACCTGTGTATGGAGATTGACCGTATAGACTAGTAGTAAGAAAATATTCTAGTTCCGTAAATGGAACAGTTGAAACAGATATTTTTTCGTAAAAATTCATGGATTTTGATTTATTAATGCTTACTTTTTGGCGGAAACATTGACCATAACTTTCATGCTCTTTTTCGAATATCTTTACTACTGAATATTCTATATCCAATAGTTCTGCCTCAAAGATTACAATTTTCTCAGATTCTCGACTACGCTACTTTCTAAAACGCTTGTTTCACCATTAGAATCTTTAAATTACCATTCAGTTATCAAAAATTACTTCAGAAAAATGATCGACTTCTCGATAGTCTTCTCCTATGCTCATGCAATCATTGCGATTCTCGGAATGTCATTCAATTTCCTTCTAGCTTATCTGGCTTTGTTCCGAACTCCTCGTGTTATCAAATCCTATGCTACACTGATTGTCAACTTCGCTATCACTGATTTCTGTGCGTGCATGTTCGATTTTTTCGTTCAACAAAGACTTATTCCAACTGGGTTGACATTGGCTTATGTTTCAAATGGTTACTGTAGTCATTTCGGACCGAGAACTTGTTATGTGGCGTAAGTTGTAGCAAAAACATAGTAGCAATAGAAAAAGATATTCATAGACTTGAAACAGCAAATTTTTGCATCTTGGGACACGATGAAACAGTAAATAGTTTTCTTAACTTCATTTTGTTTCAGATACAGCCTGATGCTCCATTTCCTGTCTCACTCCCTTTGGTCCCTTCTCCTCTCCTTTTCCTATCGATGCTACATTCTTTACAAACCTGCTCCAACTCGAAAAATTCTTATTCTGATTCTACTTCTCATCTACACCCCATCCCTATTTCAATGGGTCTCATTTCTGTGGGCTCAAGACGATCCAGAAGAAATTAGAAGTATCCTTTACACGGCATTCCCATTGTACAACTTGGCTGGTCATACTGTAACCGGAACCAAAAATATCCTTTGCTTTTCTGCTTTGTATACAATTCTACACATGACTATTCCGATTACTCCAGTGTATATTTGTATCTTGATTTTGAGGAGAAAAATAATAGCAAGGTTGAGTTACAAAGGAGTCAATATTACAAAAGATACGAAGAACTTGCATTCTCAATTGTTGATGGTGAGTTTAGATCTTATTAACATGAACGAAGTTTTGCTTGGTATTCAATTACGGTTTCACTGACTATTCCAAAGTCTGTGCGTTATAAAAAAATCAATTCGTAGGCTGTCTTGTTTTTACAACCACAAAAAACATATTTCCAGGCTCTCACCTATCAAGCCGTGATTCCTGGTTTCTACCTCTTTAGTGTTGCTTCCTACGCCATCGGACAATTCGGAATCTACAATCACCCTGCTCTCGAATATTTCACATTCTCGTCTTTTCTCTTTATTCCATTTTTATCCCCATTGGCGTCTTTCATTTTTGTAACTCCCTATCGTAAATTTATTAAACATTGTTTCTTGAAACTGGCTCATGTTGAGCCAGCAGAAATATCATCGACCCATCATAATTATACCAGTCATATTCATGTTCTCGGATGACTTTTGGTTCTGATATTATGGCTTAATAAAACTGGCCCTCTCTTGTGAACTGGCAGTCTATTGTGTTTGTTCCTATTAGCTTTGGAAAACAGTAGATTTCTGAAAAAAACTTGATTCTGCAGTTTCGTGTTTTTATAGAGGAGGTTTTCAGGAGGTTTTTTTGGCGTCACGGTATGTGCTCTGACGTAGCGGTGTACAGTAGGCAATGTGTTCACACAGTGCGTACCGCCTTGCATGGCAAACCGTCGGCAGCGCAGCTTCCGCCATCGTAGCTCAGCTAGTAGCGGCATATCCAGTGTTGGGTCAACAAGTTTAACTTTTAGCGGGGCACATATGAAAGAAATTTAGAACGAATTATGGTCTTCATGTCCCCCACATTTGAACAGTGTTACGAATTGTTATTGAATTTGATGATTGAAAATTTCAAGCATATTTGCTCAAGAGTATTTTTTCCCGGATTTTGCTCATTTCCAATTTTTCAGCCAATTTCAGCATTTCTATTTTCAAATTCAGTCACTTTACTTCAAAAGTGTGCGATCATCTCGAAAACGTGCTGATCCTTATCCCCAACTGATAAAGTGCCACAAAGACTAGAAATCAAGTGATCACAGGTGACTAATTGCGTCTATTCATATCCATAGTTTGACTCCGAAATTCGATTTCCTAGAATAAATATTCTATCACATTGACAAAATAAGATAATTTGTTGACTTCGGTTGTTGTTTTTAGTGTGAAAAATTATTGAAAAAAGTTTCTGTTTTTTGAAGGTTATTTAGTCTTAGGTCTGAATTTCATCTAATCTTTGGTGATTGTATACTGTAGCAGAAAAAATACATTACTTTTTTACGAAAATCAAGCGTACTATGAACACTAATAAATTACCAATCTGTTTCCCGGACCTCTGGCGCTTGAAATGGCTGGCTGGCGCGCCTTCGGCCCGATTTAATCTATTCTTTGTCGCTCTGGGCAAGAATTCTTAGAATTTGAAATCACCTACGTAATCTAATTTTTTCTATGAGACAATGTGTCAGAATTTTATTATTCTCCAAGGAAATGTTCTCGAAAAACAATAAAACCAAAAAATAAAGAAATTTCCTATTCTATGTCAGAACCACATATTTCTGTTCATTTTCTTTAAAAAATATTTAGAAATGCGTCGATAAATTTGGGTTTGAAATAATAATTGTTTAGAAGTGGAAGCCTCCTAATACTGGAATCTGGGAGGCGAGACACTTTGAATCACAAAATTTTTGGAAAATTCACTGTGAGGTTCTAAAGCATTGAAACTTCAATTTTCCTGAAATCCGAAGTTCTGGATACGATTTTAACATATGAGGACAGAATTAGTGATTCATTGATTCGGTTATTTTTCCTCCCCATCTGACCCGTCTCATTTTTCTTTTTCTTCTTCTCACCCCCTCAATTTCCAATTAGCTCTTTTCTCCTTTTTTTATTCTTCCTTATATTAACCAAAAAAGAGAAATGAGCCTTTCAGTCCAGATGATCTCCGAAGAAACATATCAAATCCATCGAATCATTATTTATTGTATCGTTTTATTTTTTGAAATTTTTGGCTTATTTGGAAATTTGAATCTGATCGTTTTGACAATTCGGAAGAAGTCTTTGAGAACCAAATACGGTGAGATTTTAGGTTTTTAAAAAAAAATTTTTTCTTCATCAACTGACTTTTTCAGGATACATTTTATGCACTCTAGCTACAATTCACACTTTATGCTTACTTTATGAATTGGTTTGTATGGGTTTTGGTGTTGCAGGTATCAAAAAATATTTTTTTCTGAAAATGAATTAAATTTCAGCCACATTCTATTCCTACGACATCCGGAGGAAAACTTGTTTCCTTGCCATCTTCCCATATGTATTTTTGAATTCAATGCAAACTGGTACCATATGGGTTTTAGCCTTGAATCTACTGATCACAATTATATTTCCGTTGAAAAGTCGGAAATTCAATGTTCCTATATATTTTTCATTTTTGTTCTTTTTGCCTGTTTTTTATGGGTCGGTTACTGTAATCTTTGGATTCATTTATTTGGAGGATGATGCGATTTCGGTAAGATTCTTGAACTTATTGTGAATCACAATTAGACTTACATTCGGTCGGGAAGTTTAGCACTGACTTTTTTATAAATTGAAGAACTGAAGAATTGAACAGTGATTTTTCCTGAATTATCTTGTCAAATTATTATCGAATTGAAGCAGAAAAAAATCTTCAAAACCGCTTATCTCACTTTTCAGACTTTTGAAAGAAGTTTTTGATCACAAAATAGAAATAAGGGTTCCATTCGGTGGAGAATTTCCGCCAATCGACCAACCGCCAACCCAGCCGACCGAGTTCATGGATTTTCGCGTCGACATGCCAGAGAGTGTTTGCGTACGCAGTATTTTAGTTTACGGCTCACGACGTATTTTTCAAATATCGTGAGCTTGAGTGCTGCGTACGCAATCACTGTCTGACATTTTGAAGCGGACTTTTACTGATCCGGTCGGTTGTTAGTCGGCGATCGACGATTTTCGGCCAAACGAAATGGAAGCTTAAATTGTGATGAATAATCTCCAATGATTCATTTCAGATGTGCAATCCTCCATCTTCTCTCAACCCCATCGTGAAGGCCAAATGGTACTATTTTATGTTATTAGGTTGGCGGGAAAGTCTTTGTCACTCTGTTTGTTTAATCACTGTTCTCGTATATGGAGGCTGTGTATGATATCGACTCTAGTGAATAACAAGGTGATAAGAACCTTCCATATAAACAAGTCCCCATTTCCTTCCCTGCTCCTCATCTGTAATTGAAACGATATGTTTGTTCCCACTGCTATTCACATCAGACATGTTTTGATTTACCTCTTCCTATCTCACACCACGATGAAGGATTCGGAAACTTTCTTGAAGAATGTGTACAACACACATGCCCCTCACTACAATACTATTCGCAATTGGTTCCATCGTTTCGAAAAAGATGACTTCTCGCTCGATGAAAAGGATCGCTCTGGGAGACCCCGTGAGTTGGATTTGGACAAGCTGAAGCACGCATTGCAATCGGATCCATTTCAATCTAGCCGTGAACTAGCTGTCACATTCGGAGTTCACCATAGCACAGTCCTTGAAGGTTTGAAGTCTCTTGGAATGAGAAAACTTTTTGGTCGATTCATACGTCATCACCTGACTCAAGCCAACCTTGACCGCCGAGTCGACGATTCGATTACTCTTCTCACTCTCCACGCGGGCGATCGATGGCTGGACCGGCTAATAACCGGAGATGAGAAGTGGGTCTTCTACGATAATCACCACAGGAAATCCCAGTGGGTTGGAGAAGGAGAGAGCCCACAGGATGTCCCCAAACCCGACCTTCATCCGAAAAAAGTTATGCTCTCTGTGTGGTGGGGAGTGGACGGCCCCATCTACTGGGAACTTCTGCCCGAGGGCAAAACAATAACTGGAGACTTCTACACTACTCAACTACGAAACCTCAAGAAAGCAGTCGACCGTTCGGCCCTGAAAGACAAGAAAGTGTACTATCAACATGATAACGCTCGCCCACATGTTTCGAAACAAGTGAAGCAGGAGCTGATGGGATATGGATGGAATGTTCTCCCTCACCCCCCGTATTCTCCTGATCTTGCTCCTTCCGACTATTGGTTATTTGGCGATATGACACGTGCCTTCGAAGGAAGAAGCTTCAATTCCCGTGGAGCGGTCGAAGCGGCACTCAAACAATACTTTGCCTCACGCCCGGCTGGATTCTACCGCAATGGAATCCATAAATTGAGGGAACGTTGGAGACATGTTGTTGATAATGATGGACAATATAATTAATTATTCGGTTATTTTTTCTTTGAGAAATAAACTATTGAAAAAGTGACAAAGACTTTCCCGCCAACCTAATACTTTTCACAATTCTTACTGTAGTTTTCTATACAATTGCTTGTATTCTGATCTATTACAAGGCGCATCGACATAGTTCGGATCTTCGATATATCGAACGAAAAGCTTTGAAAACTTTGAAACTTCTCATTTTCTTTTTGTGATGTTTCGATTTATAACAATCACGATTGCAACTACGTTAATGGCACTTGGTGTCGACAAAAAGATCATCGAGCTGGTTCAAAATTATAACGTAGGTTTTTTTTTTGAAATAGTCGTTCGGGAAGTTCAGCCGGCCGACGGCATATTTCGCGGTCAGTCGGCGGTCACCGATTTTCGACCGACCAACATAGAAGACTTATTTTGAGAATTACAATAAGAAAAATCACGAATTCTTCAGATCATCGCTGGAATCACGACATACTCCCAAAATGCCTATGTCTGCTACTTTCGGAGCTCCGAGTACCGAACATTGCTCAGTGAACAGATTTCCATGATTCATCCAAAACTCGGAGCAATGTTGCCAAAGTTATCCGCACAATCAAGTGTCAATGGGCAACAATGGATTGTTTCTGGTGTTTCAATCATTACAACGAATCCATTGAAACCTCAGAAAAGGGCACACTTAAAATAATAAAATTATGAAAGCTATTTTTCTGAAAATAAAGCGAATTTCAAGAATATGTTGCTGAGAAAGAGAACCTCGCTTTCTGAAAATTGAAAAATTTTTCAGGGTTTCAGGAATTAATTAATGTAATGTTTACTGTCTGCGATTTGTTGCTTTTTCTTTTGGGAACGGAGACCAAAAAAGCAACTTGGGAAACAGAAAATTGAAAAAAAATTTCAAAAAATCAACTGAACTCGAGCCAGAAATAAAGCAAACTAGTTTTTGGAAAATGCAAATCTTCTCATGAAATATGGATGTAAACTTTAATGTGAGCACTACGAACTTTCTAATTCTGAAAAAGTGGTTCATTGATAGAATGGTCTTATAAAAACATTTTTATCTAACTAGAAGTCCAAACTTCATAACTAATCGGCTCATAAACTGTGTTTTAGGTGAATGTCATGAATGGATTAACCTAGAAAATTAAAATACTGTTTCCGAACATTAGTTTTTCCCAGTGGGATTCTGAGATATTCAGTTTCTTATGACTTCTCAGTGGTAATGACCATGAACACGACATCACAAAAAAGCAATCAAACGAAATCAGGAAACAAAAATTACATGTTCTCAAATCCTCATAACTTTTGAAACAAACCAAAACATTCATTCTAAGGGTTGGCGACCCCAAACGGGACGGGACTTGCTCCCGCCCTGGAAGATAATTTAATTTGGGTAACTAAATGAACCGAGTGACTTGGAACTCTCAGAGTAGCTTAGTTGGGTCCCCTACATTGCGGAAAATTCGAAAGTAAGGTCACTATTTCATTTGCTATGTACGTTTCTGAACAGGTGGGGCGGGATCGCTCCCTTTTGCCCCATAGCCAACCCTAACTTGATAAAAAAGGTGCTGAAAAACAACAGTAACATTACATTTTACATTTTATAGATGTTATGCTTTGTTTGAGCTTCACTGCTTCGAAGTTCCATTTCGTTACTGTTGTATTATGCCCCAGTTTAATTTTGTTTCATTAAACACAAAAAAGATAAAACCACCAATCTTTGAGTTCTCTAACATCATAGTTCTACGAAAGAACTCAAAATTATTTTATCCCACTTTTTTCACGAATAAATCTTCAAAAAATGTGAATCAGGTCTAATTACTATCCTATACAGCCCTCCCCCCTTCCCTGTCATAATTCCCATCTTCAGCTCCTCCTCGTATTACCAGAACCAGCATCTAATTTCTTCGTTTTCACGTCAGCAGAACATACAGAGAGTTCCTCATCTTTTTTACTTTTACCTCGTTGTTGGTTAACTCACCACCTTAGCAACCGAAATTTATTAAACTTTGTTACTTTTCAGACTACGCCTACTTTTTTTCTAGACATTCTTTGTTATTCTAGGTATTGTTTTTCTTTCTCCCACGAGTTTTTTCGTATAAATATAAAGATGTCGACGATTACGGGAACGGAGGACGAGTACAAAATGCATCGAATTATAATTTATTCAATTGTGCTGGTTTTTGAATTTTTCGGATTATTTGGGAATGTTAATTTGATTGCAGTCATATTGAGGAATAAGATTTTGAGGTCCAATTTTGGTGAGTTCTGCAAATTTTTTACTGTGGAAGCAATAAACAATACATTGTGCCACATTTCGATATAGGAACCTTGAAACTGCCAAAAAATCCCAGATTCCAAAAAATGTTTTTAGACAATTTCAGTAGATTTTTGTAATTCTGTTTCAAAATTTTGCTGTTTCGAAAGCTTTAAGAGTTTTTTGGCTGTTTTTGGAGGATTAGAGGCTGTGATAAGCCAAAAAAAAAAAAGGATTTTTTCTGATTGTCAAAAATCTGAGAAGGATGAAAATTATAGGATGTGTTGTAAATAAACTGTTTCAATAGGCTCATATAGTTAAACCTGTAATAGACCCAAACTGTCATAGAGCTCGTCTCTCAATTAATTTTCAAGATCGAAATGTGCCAACTGACAAAAAACTTCTGATATTACGATAAAACATTTTATCCGTTGACAATTTTTTCATATCTTTAACATGAACCGAGATAAATTGACTTGTTAGAGGCCCTTCTATTACTGGTTTTATGATAGCTTAAAATTTTGCTATTATATAATTATGAGGTTTTCAGGATATCTCATGCTATGCCTTGCATGTTTTCACACTGTATGTTTATTTTTTGAACTCATTAACATGGTATACGGTGTCCTTGGTAAGTCCCTAAATCTCTTCTTTCAATTATTTAATTTTTTTCAGCCACCTTTTTCTCCTACCGTATCTTTCGGTCCATTTGCTTTCACACCACTTTTCCAGTAATCGTATCTCATTGTATGCAAACTGGAACCATCTGTATACTATCTTTGGATTTATTTCTGGCCATTGCCATTCCATTTCGATATCGAAGTTTTCATTTACCCTTGTATTTCGGATGTATGTTTTCTGTTCCAATTTGTTATGCATTTGGAATTTCGATAGCTGCGAAAATTTATTTGGATGATTCTGAACTTCAGGTTAGGGTTTTTGAATATTTTTACTGTCTCATCGATGTCATATGTATTGTTCAATGCAATAATAACTGATATTTCATCTAAAAAACAATAACATATAATTATTTCAGATGTGTAATCCGCCATCATCTATGGTACCATTTGTTCGACAATGGTGGTATGAAATAATGCTAACATTTTCATTTTTAACAGTGATTTTTTATTCTGGCGCACTTGGATTGCTTTCTTGCAAAAGTGAGTTTTGTGGAAAACAGTTATATTCAAATTTGAAAATTTGCAGTCCACCGAAAGTCGACTGACATCCGTCTAATTGAGAGAAAAGCTCTGAAAACGCTGAAAGTTCTCATTGTCATTTTTCTCTTCACTCGATTCATCTCAACCGGAAGTGCTACGTTGGTACAGCATCTGAAAATCAATCCGGAAACAATTTTATACATTCAAAACTATAATGTGAGTCACTAGGAAAAGTAAACACGTGCTCTTTGCAAGAAGTGATTGATTAGTTTCAATTGAATTTAGTCAAAACGGGGGGAAATCAGGAAGAAGAAAATAAAGGAGATTTATGTATGTGACTTGTGAGGGGGGTTGAATGAAAATTATTAGCGCTGATGTGTTGATTTTCTATCTTTGATTTTTTTTTCGGGATGTAGATGTAACCTTATTTGGCGCTAAATTCTGAAATTTTATCAGACCGATACCGCGTTTAATGATTTACCTTAAAACCTGTATTAGAAGTGCCCGTCCTTCTATTTTTCGTGAGGTCTCTTGGGGAGCACTTCAATTAGAGGGGAATTGCCCGCGGTATGTCCGGGGTATCAGGTTCCTGTGATAAAATAGAAGAAAATCAACAAGAAATGTAACAAAATCGGTTTATTATGAACAAGTTAGAAAGAAACAACAAATAAAAGCTTAGAATTCAAGCAAACTCACTTAAAATCCTTAAAAGAGTCTCTCAAAAATTACGAGCCAAATCCAAGCTCGCAATCACTCAAAACTAAATTTAAACTGTGCGCGCGCCGAGCGGGATAGCGGAGTGTCGTTGCGTGGGTAGAGGGAACCTTTAGAAGGGGTTGGAGGGTAGATGCCCCAGGCAACTGGGGCACTTCAATGAGAGGGGGCACGTCTATTTTTCGCGGGTCGCTGAGAAGGGCACTTCTATTATAGGGGCATCGTTTTTCGGTTAAAATTTGGTTTTTTTTTACTCAACCATTTTTTTAACATCAATAATTTTATAACAAAGCAAAGCAACAAAAATTCCGCCGCTTTTCGATTGTTCGTTTTGTTTGCAAAATCCACAACTTGCTTTTAGAATTTCATCGTAAAATTCTGTCTTCTCTTCCTTGTGTTCTCAGTTTTTTGATATCTTCACATTCTTCCTCCGATACATCATGAAAAGAGTCTTCCTCCGACATTCTGAAGTTGAAAAATTCATTACTCTCGATTTCAACGGGGAAATAACACCAAATTAACAAAAAAAAAAGACAAAAGTAAAAAAAACGAAACTTTTTTTCTCGGGCCGCAACATTTCGTCGCCGTACGGCGGCCACAGCAAAGGGGGACTTCAAATAGAGGGGGGCACTTCAATTAAAGGGACACTTCAATTAGAGGGGGCACTTCTATTTTTCGCGGGGTGTCTAGGGGGGCACTTCAATTAGAGGGGCCCTTCAATTTCAGGGGCACTTCTAATACAGGTTCTACGGTAATTCGAATTATGCATAATTTCTGATGAGCTAGAAACAGAAAATATCGTAACAACTTATACATACCTTGTTTGGGAACGAATCACCAATAAGGGTTCAGAAATCTTGTTATGGTTCTGGGAGGTTGAAAATAAAGAAATCAGTAATTTTTCGTGCCTAAAAGTACCAAATTTGGAGAAAAGTGAATTAGGTTCTGTTTTTTGTTTTCTACTGAGCTGACTTTCTAACAATGCTTGGAAAATTGTTTTTTTTAACCAGAATCTGGACAGAATTAATTTAGAAATTAAAATAAAAAAGTAAATAGGCAGAGAATTTTTAACTCAATGATTCATTTGAGACGGTTGCAGTTGTTTCTAAGTATGGTACTTACTTTAAATATTGTAAAAAACCTTTAAGTTATTTTTAATTGAGAATGTTTTTACTGCTTCTAGCTTTTGCTAAAATGTCCCATTTTTTGAAAATGTCATTATGCATTCGGTTTCATAAGCTTAAAAATAATGATTTGCTAGAGGAATTCTAAATGAAGTCTATGAAGTCCAGCTACCACTTCATCTTGATTCAAAAAATCAACCCGATTTCAGGTTATTCCAGCTGTGGCTGCCTATTCCCAAAATGCCTATGTCTGTTTCTTTCGAAGTGAAGAATACCGTCGATTGCTCACCGAACAAGTCACAATGTATTTTCCATGTTTCAAAAACGCATTTCCTATCAAATCAACCGAAAGGAGTATGAGTATGAAGCGAGCTACAGTTGTCGTTAAAATTTAGATTGTTTTGGAAATTCTATGAATTCGTTTCGGTGTTTTATTTTCGTTATTTCGGGTGCATTGTTTTTGCTCAAACCTTGTATTAACCAAAAATTTCAATGAATTGAATTCAACTGTAAAGAGCGTTTTTTCCCATTTTTATAATGAGGGCAAGTTTCTGCACGCATTCTTAATGAAAAAAGAAATAAAAATGGAAAAAAGACTGTCAAGAGTTCCGAGAAATTTCTTGAATTTTTTTCCGAATTTTCCCGAGAAAAGAGCACCTAAATCAAATTTCATGAGAAAATGTTTTCCTGATTCAAAAAAATCTGTGAACAACTAAAGTCACACGAAAATTTTGCACTTCTTTTGTCAATTGAAAAACAACAAAAATTGGAAACGTTTCAAAAGTACAGTTTCATAATTTTCATATTTTTGAGCAGTAGTAGTCGTGACAATATTTAATTAAGACATCATAAAACCATGAAAGTATGTCTTCCGATCTGTCCCGAGAAAACAACGAAAAATCAAATCTCATGAGAAATTGAATTATGCACTATTTTTTTCGTAATTTGAGAAACAGTTAGAATAGAAACGTTTCATAAGTTACAGTTTCATAATATTTATATTTTTGAGCAACATTATTCAAAGCAATCCGGTCCGTTTTCAAGAATGACATTTACTGAAATATCACAATTTTGTGTCAGACTTCATTCCCCCATGAAACCGAACATTTTTTCTCTAACTGAAATTTTGCCACGTAATCGTTCCTCTGGAATTTCCAGCCATTTTTTTCTTTTCTCCAAAACTTTCCTTATCACCTCTCCTCCACTTTCAACCCCCACCTCCTTCACACCTTTTTTCGACTACTCATACGGTATGAGTCATACCTTAAAAATTCCCCGTCTTTGTTGTGCATTTCTACCTTTCCATCTTCCCTATGTATACACTTTTCAGTCTGAAATATTTTCTTCATTTTCATTTTTATTTGTATTATGCTTGTACACCCTTTTGCATGCCTCTCTTTTCCTATCAACTTATCAGTTTTTGTGTTACGCACATCGCCCCGTTTAGTGGTCGATTATGAGCTTCGGTTTTTGATTGTATTCTCGCACCAACTTTTCTGGTCAACCCGCATTTTGAATTCAAATTACGAACTCTTTTGTACTGTTTGCAAGTTTAAAATCAAAGATTTCAGGTGAGCAATGACTGAAGGAAGCCGACAGGCTACGGTAGCTCAGCGGATTCGAATTCCAAGAATCGCGATAGCACCGCCGTCTGCGACTCTTCATGGTGCACAATATCTCACACGTAAGCTAGTTTCTATAATGTTGATTGTTCTTGAACAGCTAGCTTATGAATCAGTAGAAAGAGTGACTCATAAAATTCTAAAAATTGCGAAAATATTTGCAAAGGAAATTTCTTAAAAGATCATCGCTTGAAAGTTTTGAAAAAATACTGTTTCTCAAATGTGTGAAAATTGTTTCCCGTAATCAGGAAATCATTAGACCGTGCGGTTTTTTATAGACTAGATTTTATTCATGTAGTGGATTGAAATCTTTGAATTATTATAAAAATATGATGATTTTCCGTATTTTTTTTAACTTTGAATGATTTTCGACGAATTTTTCTGACCAAGTCGGAAATTTAAACTTTTTTAAAATCAAAAAACATTGTCGCAAAACAGGCGAAATCGCAAAAACAAGTTTTTAAAAAACCTGAAATGTTATGGTAGTTTCCGCTATGGGACCTTGTGCCACGGCCACCTCCATAGCACTGATTTTTTGTTTCATTTTTTAAAAATTTAATATTAAAACGAATCAAGTAATGTACACTACTTCTTCGCATAGTTACTAGTTCTTTGAAACCGGAATTTTTTACCGAAGAAAAACGGTGGACGTGAAAAATAAGAAACAGTTGCTGCTGCTCCGAACATTAGGAAGGATTTGTATTTTGATTTTAATAAGTCATCTATCCTTGAAAAAATTACTTTCTGCGATTTCCTCCAGATTCAACAAAATCTTGAAACTGCGTAAATTTTCAGCTCATGCATCGACTCTCCCCAGAAGCAACGATGTTCTCACATCTCCCACCTACATCACCGATCATCTTCCATCTCGCCGATTATCGGAAATCGATAGCCCGTTCTATCTTCCAAATCTTCTTTCATCAACGTCTGAAAGAGAACGAATTTCGAGATCTTACGCTCCCATGAGCGGATACTCTACAACTCCATTGAGAATTCGAACTGATGTTTCTGCTCTTCCAAGATTTGTGGACACTAATACAGACTATGGGAACACAGTTAGAGACTATTCGGCGAGAGATTATGTTCGAGAGAGGGCAATCACTTCGGCAGATGACCGAGAGGAATTTAAACGAATCTCTCAATATCCAGCAACCGCAGAAGTCATTGGGCTGCAACCTCCACGAATGATGACTCCAAATGCTCCATTCGAAGCGGAATCTCCGAAATCGCACCATCCAATTGTCCCTGAAACTCCTGCTGACGTTGATCGTCTTGCTCTTTACAACAATTCTTCATTGGGATATCAACGACTTTGTTACTTCCTTTCAAGATATCCAGCCATCGCAATGACTATCATTTCCACTTGGATGTTATGGGGACGAGGATTGGGTCTGACATCGGTGAAATCAAATGAAAATGTTTGTTATATTGTGTCATTTGCCGCTGGAGTTTTCATTCTTTCCAGTCAAGTTTTGTTGTCTACCACACATGGAAATTCATATAAAAAGGAGAAGATTTTGGTAAGTTGAACTATTTAAAATATGTCTCAATGAAGTTTTTCACTGAATTTTCCAAATAGGATCTCAATCTTGTGTAGAAGCTGAAACAGACATTTGTTAGAACTTTTTTTAGTTAGACATCTTTACCAACAATTTGAAAATCGAAGAAAAATCTAATTTCGCGCTCAATAGGTGAGGTTAGAGAATTTTTTCTGTTTCAATCTAATAATAAACTGACAAGATGCTTCATAAAAATTACTATTTGAAATACTAGTTTTTAAATGGTAAAAAAAACTCAAGTTGACCTAAAATTTTTGAAATTCTCAAATTTCCAATAAACAATTTAACAAACTTGTTCAGTCCAATCTCTACCATCTCTCTAACACCATCGGAGTCCTCATTTGCATCACTGTCATCGTTTTTGCTGCAATTTCTTACCAGAATGTTCAGAACCTCAAGTATGACTTTTCCACAAATTAAAAAACATTCGCGTCCCTTTAAACTTCCAGCTATCTCCTCGACACATGCACATGGTCGGATTCATCTCTCGGAGGGATCACCAGATTCTATTGTTTCACTCCAAATGAGAGAATTGTCTTCCTGTCGATTCTCATTGGAGCATCTGGTCTTATTATTATTCTTTATCTCCTCAGTGGAGTTTACGGATGTGTGGGTGAGTGGCTACTTGGCCGTGTTTTTATTTCGAGATTTATTTTGAAACTTGAAATGGGAACACTACGAACATGGCAGCGTTGAAAGCGTTGAAAAACTTTGCAACTGCAAATATGAAAGTGTTGAATGTGTAATAATTTTCTATTAATTTTCAGGTGCATCTTTGATGAAAAAGAAGCGACAGGACGAGTTCAGAGAGTACGCTGAGGCGCACGACAATGCCGCTTTCCGGTTCTAAGAATGCGGTGGAAATTCAGATGTTTTTAACTTATTCGTTCAAATTATTCTCTGTCAGATATCACAAACTTTTACTGTTTTCGAATATAGTTGTTGATAACAGGAAATGTAATTGGAATTACACAACGTTAATTACACACAACTTTCAGAGTCTCAAATAATATTGTGGAGAAACAGACATTTTTTTTCAAATTGGCATAACATTTTCCTGATTTTCTTTTAAATTTTCGGGAATGTCGAATGAGATTGAATTTTGTTGGAACACATTATTATCCTAAAAAATCATTTTTTTTAGTTCAGTACTAGCATTATCTTTATGCTGAAACTTTTTTTCAGCTTGTGTACTTCAATCAACAACACATCTCAAACTTGAGGTATTTTCATTTCTTTTTCGATATACGGAAAGTAAAAATGGGGCAAAACTGATTTTTTGTCACAAATGAAACAATTTTCAAAAAGAATCGAGTAGTTTTGAATGGGTGGCCAAACACACATATCACAACTTGCGCATAAAGTTCAAAGTGTGAGGCTAAAATGGGTTCCGGGGGAGAGAATTGGGCTGAGAGGGAGAGACACAGAGAGCATCGAGAGGTAATTTTAGTGTAATTAAAATAGGAGAGGATTTGTCTTAAAGTAGTTTTCAGACAAATTAATTCACAAAAAAGGCACAACAAAAAAGACTAAGGACTGATCGAGATGGGCGTGAAAAGGAGGTGGTGACGAGACAAAGAGAGAGATTAGAATGAGATTTAAGAGACCCTGACAAAGAGAAAAAATGATTGAGGAAAGTGGAAGAAATGAGATGGTATCAGATCAAATCATGTGTGTCGGGATCATCGAATGCTCTGGATTTTTTGGAATTTGAGGAAAAAAAGGACAAAAAAACAATTGAATTAAGGCAACAAATGAATATGAAAAGGGTACTTTCTAAGGGGGAAACATTTTTGAGACCGTAAAAACATATTTTGGGGATTGGTGGAAGAACAAAATGAGACAAAATTTGGTAAATGCCAAACAGGAAAGAAAGAAAAAGTGAGCCAAAAAGTGAATATCCTAAGTGATATATAAAGACCCTAGATTGTGACTTGTCACCACATCTTTGATAAATTACTATAGCACAAGTCATCAGAATCGTCAGCACGAAGACACCGTTGATGGGTTCGCAGAGGCGGGACGTTTGTTGGCTTTTTGAAGATGTCCGGCCACTATAAAATTAGTTTGTTGGGTTGGAGGTTGGATGAGGGAACGAGGAGGTTCAGTTTTTGTTTTGCGAGATTTCTGAAATTAGGACAAGCGGTTGTAAGGAGCTAACAAGCGACACGATACAAGGACAAAGAGCCTAGTTAACTAAGATTGACTCAAATTTTAAGAATCTATCATGGACAGTAGGACCCTTCTTACTGTCAAGTTTGATCTGGAATGACTTCAATTCCTATGCAAAACATCAAAAATTTTAGCCAATTTTTCTCGCTTCCTGTCAGAGATAAAAAAAGTTGTAAACTGATAAAATGTTGGTGATATTATGATAAACATTTTATTAGTTTACAACTTTTTGATGTCTCGCATAAGAACCGAGATAATTGAGCTCAAAGTGCACATATCGGGCGGTCCTCTGTTAGAGCGTTTACGGCAACTAAAATGGACAAAACATTTCAAGTTTTTTTTAGAATTTGAAGTTATTATTTCAGGAAATTAAACATATACTGATAGGGAAGTGCTCTAAAACTAAAGGTTCTCAGGTTTTTGTAACATCATAAACTACAAGCTCACACTATCTATTAGGCCATCCAAACTGTCGACTTTGATTTAATATATCTGTGTTCCTGGGAAAGATATCAAAAAGTAGCCAACAAATAAAATATTTTTCATGTTATGATAAACATTTTATCAGTTGACAACTTTTCATATCCTTCACAGGGAATAAGATATGCTTGAAGTTGATAGTTTGGGTAGCGCTCTAGAATGCCTACGGTAATTGGGTGAGTGCTCTAAACTAACGCCATTGAGGATTTTTTCGACTACAACTTGAAATAAATTCTAGCTAACATAATGTTAGTGAAACGAAAAAATTACCTTTCAGAGTATGTCCATTATGCTGTTCGACCACATCCATCAATTCTTCTTTCACATTATTCAACGGCGGTCCATCCAAACTTCCAGAATGTCCGGCTACAGCAGCTGCCGAAAGCATGTGGAGTGGATTGTTCACATCTGTACTATTTGCTGGAAATTCCAAAGTTAAAAATAAGTCTTCGGAAGAAGGGTGCTTACCAAGCATTGACAACACATTGTCAAGACTATTGCCATTCAGCTGGAATGGTTCGCCGGAGAGTGACGCCGGATCGAAGTTCTGCATTTCCAAAAATGAGCTCAAAGCATTCGAGTCAAACATTCTATGCGGCGAAATCTAAATTGACAAAGAAACGTTCAAAATTTGCTCTTTTATTTAGAGTAGAGCATGTTTTTTTTTCAGGTAAAAGTGTCAATTCAAAGTTCGCTTTTTTAGAATTCTATTCTAATATCCAATCCAATTAGGTAAGACGTATACATTGAACACTGGGTGAGTTAGTGATAATAACAACTATCACTACAATTACAAAAGCGAACTCTAAAAAGCAACGAAAACCTTTTGACTTCTAAACATGCACAATGCGGACGAAAACTAACATCATCTGGAAGTGGAGTTTGTGGTTGACTTCTGGTTGCTGACGATCGGTTGGGACGTCTTCGGTAGAATTCTGAATCGTCCACTGTCCATACGGCTCCTTTTACGTTTTGCTCTACGCGTTGGAAACATTTATGAAGGGAGAGATTGTGACGAACGGCGTTCTAGAATAGTTGGAGACGTTAAAATAGTTTTGACAGCCTGCCCGTAAAAGTCGCTAAGTGAAGCAATATTTTGACGAGCCTCTTGTATAAAAGTTTAGAAACGGAACTTTTTGTTGAGAAATCTAGAGTTGTTTTTAAGATCGTACTTTGAATTTTATCATAATTTCGGTTTTTTGGTAATCCAAGATTATACTTCCCTCTTCGGAACACCCAATTTTTCAATCCTTACTCCATGACTTTCGACCCCTACAATCTACCCCCAAACACCAGACAAAAACACTCCTCGTCTATTTTATTTTTTGTGTTCCATTGCCTCGACGTCGACCCTCATGGCCCTGCCTGTGCACACACAAAGTCTCTTCTATTTTTTTTGTGTCACTTGATGATGTTGGAGTTGCACTTTTTTGCGTCGGCGCCCAGTACCCCAATAGATACTCTCTTCTCTCTATGTTCCTAACGTTCTCTATATATCTGGGGTCTGTGTCCCTCGGTGCCCCCTATAGAACACTCAGCTGATGGAAGGATGCATTCAGGGTCGGACGATGCTGTTTTGTTGCATGCACTTTTTGCCTCTAGGCTATGAACGAATTGAAAGAGAAGCGACTAGGATCATATGACCTCCGGCGCCACAGGAATTGGGAGGGAAACGAGCTCAGAATAAGAGGGCTCCTAGAGAACATAGCAAATGAAACACATCCGAAAGTCCAGACGGACTAAGTGTTTTTGAAACTTTTTGCATGGATAAGGGGGATAAAGCATCAGAATTCAGAAACAAAACTTCAGATAATAGTTCTGAATCGAAAACAAAGACTTAAAAATTTAGCATCTGCTGTTTCAAGATAGCCATACATAGCTACTAACTTCTACTTCATAATACACCTAACAAGCGAATAAAAAAACACAAACCTTCCACGTGGCAGCATTCCTTCGGAAATAGGCAAAAGTCTCGGTGAACCATGTATAGATTTCATTCAGTGTTAGCTGACAGTCTGGAGATTCCATAATGGCTTGTCGAATTAATGAAGCATATGTGTAGGGAGGCCGCACATCGTTGGCTCGGTAGAAGTCTCTGGAATTTCTTTTTTTCATCGAATTGCTGGTTGAAACTCGGAGAACAAGTTCTAAACTTTTACTGTTTCCCACTAGTTCAATATTCTGAGGAAAAATTTTGATCTCCTAGTGGATAGTTAGTCTCCATAAACTCACCGATTTTTGGCGATATCCGTGGCAATCGGTTGAACTGTTTTATCCGATATCCGACTTCTCCTGGCTACAAAATTCCTATCTGGATTTGGCGATGTTTCTGTGGATGCTGAACTGGCTGCTCTTTGCAAAAGAAGTGGTCCAGAACCGGATGGTCCGTTGGTTGACGGTTGTGATGACGTGGATAGTTGATGATTGATGAAAGTTGGCATTGAACTGACGGAGGGTACTGTAGTCATTTGAGTCGTTCCCACTGTGGAAGCGGCTATCGATGCGGCGATGCTCAGGAGGGAGGATGCAGCCTCGGAGGTCTGAAAATATTGGTTTTGTTGTGGTTTTTCAAAGTAAAATTCCCCAGAATCCTTGTTCCCTTCTTCTTCTATGAAACAAAAAACAAAAACATCGTTAAAAAACGAGAAGCTTCATCTTCCATGTTATTCCTCATCCCCACCACCATATACGGTACACGCATGACTTTTTTGTTGTTCATATATAGTCAACTGACAGAATGGCCCAGTTTCTTTTCCCTTTTCGATCAAATTCAGCGATCAGAGATGAGTAAGGATTGCGCGGGAACCACGAAGGGAATAAGGAGAAGATGAAGGAAACGATGAATTGAGGAAAGGGAAACAAACAAAAACAACCACAACACAAGAAGCAAGATGTGCTGATGTCATCAACTGGTTATTTTGTTTTTCTTTTGTTGTTATTGTCGTTCCATTTGGGGGAAATGAAAGATTTGGTTGAATGAAGAAAAGATGGTTATATGAGTCTGGAGATGACTCATGATTTACTGTTTGTTTATTAGGATATTTAGTTTTAGATACGTATGAAAATTGTTAGGAATGTGTTAGAGTGTGTTAAGTGAAAATCAGAGAATTACAGTTTCAACTAAAAATTAAATAAAACTATTATCCGCAGTTACCAAGCTAATTGCAGGATTTTCACTTTCTCGAAAAGAAACCAAAGTTTTCATAGAACTAGAATTCTTGACAGTACCAGATCAAAGGAACATTTTGAAAATATGCTTTTTTCATTAAAGGAGGCCAGACACCAAAAAAAAAAGTTTTCCTGATATTTTGCATAGAGAACCTCCATGAGGGGTTGAACTCATGACAGGCAGCTCAGGGGTACAGCGCCGCTACCGGCCGAGCTACGGGGGCGCAAAGGCTCATGACGACCGATTGTCTACATAAGCGCGGCGCGATTTCGTCCCCCGAACTGTCCCCCCGAAATTTTTGCTGTCTCGCCTCCTTTAAATACCGTAAAACTTTTTTTCGGTTTCGGATAGTTTCCTTTCCAACTTGAAATGCGATAAAAATTAGTACTCGTCCGAATACTGTGTTTCCTCTATTAAAACGCTATTTGCACTTTAAGTTCAATAATCTCGGTTCCTATGCAAGATATCAAAAATAGGTCAACTGATAAAATGTTTGTGATATTATGATAAACAGTTTATCAGTGAACAACTTTTTGATATCTTTTATAAAAATCAAAATAAATTGGCTCAAAGTTGAATGTTACGGGGCCCTTCTATTACAGGGTTTACGGCAACTTAAAGTAATTTTAAGTTGTTTGAAGGTGTTTTTAAGGCATGTTGCTGTTTTGGAAAGAAAACTATAAGTGTTTTTATTTCGAAAATTTCAGAAAAAATGGAATAACGCCAGTACTTTATGTTCAAAGTTGACGAAGAAGGTGTCAACTACGAAAATGAAGCTTTTCGATTTTCTTGGAAATTTTCAGATTAATCCGATAGCTCCAAGATTGACTTCTTTGTATACATGAAAATTTTAGAAATATGATGGTGCTTGCAAAGGTACTGTAAGTTCTCGACTCACCATGAAAAGTTTGAAAAGTTCAAACTGTAGAAAAAAAGGATTGCCTGTTTCAAATTCATGATATACAAATTCGAGCAACAACACCTTAATTTGTAACCTCAATCCCCACATATCCAAATGTCCAGATGTCTGAACACCTATTTGTCTAGCTCACTTTTTTCTCCTCCGATCCCTCCGCGTCCACCTAGCTAATTCTTCCTTCATTATATTTCTCCTCCCTTTTTTCACTTTTCCCTCCCTCACAAACAGTTGCAAAGTGTTTTGTTTGTGTTTGCGAGGAAAGCGAAAAGAAGAAGAAGCATCTAGAGAAACGAAAAAATATGCGCTCTTTTTCTCTGCATGTGAGGCGAAAATTGTTTATCAACATCGAGAAAATATAGAGAGAGTGAGGGAGAAAAGGAAAAGCAACACGGGAAGCATATTGCGATTCTTCTTTTTCCGTATGTATGTTTGTGTGTGTGTGTGACCACAAAATAAACATATTCCCCGTCTCTTTTCCAAAACTCATTGTTCTCGAAATCCATATCACACGCAGGAAGAAGAAGAAGATTGTCATCATCATCAGTCATGAGGCAAGAGAGTGTGCGATGTGAAGAGACGCAGACAAAACGGGAGGGGGAGAAAAACGTAGTAAACAAACAAACAAGCTACGCGGAGGAGGGTGTCTGGGAATAGCGACACACTAAAAGTGCACGTCTACTACCTTTTGCTATGTTTGATCTTTGTATAAACAGCCGGAATAAATAGAAGCTAAATGAGTCCGAGTGATGGAATAGAATTATAGGAAAATTTTAGGATTGGTTTGGAAATTATCCCTTACCCGAGGCAGTGGAATAAAAAGCATTCGAACAGCTCGGCTTGAGAAAACAGAATCGAAAACTCTCAAAATTTCCAATTGATAAGGTTTTGGTGAAAAAATGAAAAAAATGTTGTTGTGGAACAAAAATTTGGACTCTCATAATTGGACAATCCGAGGTTTCCGTGATTTTCATAAATTGGATCTCTTATAGAACGGCATATATCTACTGATTGCAAACATCTCAACTCGGGAAAGATATGTCAAAAACCCTATTCCCTCTAATAGAAGCCTAGACCGATTCGTTAACTTTGAGCTCAATTATCTCGGTTCCTATGAAAGATATAACTAATCTGTCAACTGATAACATATTGGAAATTTTATGAAAAGTAATTTATCTGTCAAAAATGTTTTGATATCTTTCACAGAAAGTTAGATATATGAGCTCAAAGTTGACGGTATCGGAGGCACATTTTTACCGCATTTTACGATTAATACATCGTAACTGTACTACTCTTTGATACCACTGTACAGAAATAGCGTATCATTTGGATTACTATTTCTTTCATTTTAACTTGTCGATGAAACCGCAAAATTTTCAACGGGTCCTTCCTTTTTATCTTTTCCAAAACAAAGTCCGGACAAAGTTCCAGAAACATCAAAGCCCTCCCTCTATGTCTATCCACTTCATTTCAAATTCCCTTTTCAATTTTCTAAAAAGCTCTTCTTCTTCTTCTTTTCCAACTATTGGTGGATGGTAGTTTTGCTACGAAAAAGAGACGTCCTTTATGTTTATCTGCACTATCGATTCGACATGTAAACAAACACGCACACAACCAAACAGCAAAAGAAGAAGAAGAGGAGAGAGAGAGCCTATTTCGACAAATACTCTGTAAATAGACAAACACATCGAAAAGAGAGAGAGAGATGGAAGTATCTTTCCACGTTTTGTCTATCATACAGAGAGAGTGAGTATTGTGCAATAACCGACTGACTTTGGCGAAATTGGATAGATGAGGGCCTACTGAGGACGAGAAAACGAACCATGGAGACTGTGGGCAAATAAAGAAACATGTGATTTTGGTCGCGGTTGGTTGGTTAGTACTACTGACCTAGTTTCAGAAAACAATAGCAAAAAATGAAAATCATGAACTTACGCAAATGAGATCAATTATCTCGGTTATTATGGGATATAGGAGATATAAATTTTGTCAGCTGATAAAATGTTTTTGATATTATGATAAACATTTTGTCAGTTGACAACTAGTTGATATCTTTTACAGGAAATGAGATATACGGGTTCAAAGTTAATTGGTAAAAATCCTGAACTACCATAGCTGCTCTGATACAACGCCATAATATAATTGAGATAAATTATCTCTTTTGCTATAAAAGATATCAAAAATCTACCAACTGATAAAATGTTAATCATAGTATCAGTTACAGTTTTATAGTTTACAATTTGCTGATATCTCTCACAGAAAATGAGAAAATTGAGCTCAAAATTTAAGTAGGTAGGTTACTAATAGACTCTTGATTAGGTCAGGAAAGTCTAAATCTTCAGATTCATAACTTATGACTAAAAAAAAGAAGCACGTCCAATCACTAGTTGAAATATCTGAGGAAGGAAGAAAGCGTCTTGAAACAGAACGAAAAATCATGAAATGTTTGAAAGCAAAAGCCATTAGGCAACTTCAAAAAGTCAATTTTTGGAACGAATTATGCGGATTTCCGCTTCCCACACCAATAAAGGAAATCGCATGCCAAAACAAAAATATAAGCAACTCACGGGTGAGACTTGTGTTATCTGCTGTGTCTGAGTTATCACTTGTGGCTGTTGTTGTTGTTGTGTTTGTGTCTGATGATGAGCTGGTTGAATCGTGAAACCGGCGGCTCCTTCGATTTTCGGTGACCTCAACGGACTCGTCGGCTCGATTTTCCCGATATTCGGCGTCGTTGTGTCTGGAGACGGCTTCATTCGAAGGTGCTGCATCATGCCTTGAAGACGATTTCGTTCCACGGACAGCTTGTGTTCCAGTGATTCGACTTTCTCGATTTGCGCTCGCATTTCTTCGTTGGTTCTGGAATTATCTTTCGTACACGAGATGGTGACCGATTGAAGTGAAAATCTACGATACTACAAAACACTTTGGAGGAACAGAGAATTTTTCAGAATTTTTTCGAGAATTTGGAAGCCATGATCTCTTACCTGTCACACGATGGATGCTCTTGCTGTAGATGTTGGATCAGTGCCATCACAGAATCACACGGCTGATCGCAATTGGGCCATGCACACATACTATGTTGCCATAACGCGTGTTGTTGTGGAGTACTGATCGCTGGTGGAATCGCCGTTGACAGCGGAAGACTCATTGAAGAAGCTAGATCGAGAGCAGCGGGAAGCTGTGGAATCAGCATCTGACCCAGAAACATTTGCTGAATCAGACGAGTCGTTTCGTTCGACGCTGCTAATGACGTGGCATTCGTTGATGAGGTGTTGGCGGTATTGGCCAACTGTTGTAGCGATGGTGTGGTAGCTGATTGGGTGAGCGTTGGTTGATTAGGGCGCATCTGCAAAATTAAACATTTTTTTGTGAGAAAATCCAAAAGAATTTTTGAGAGAGTAAGATCACAATGGATCTAGAAAAATTGTGAAGTAACAAAAAACAATATTTCTGCTAGGTCTTTTTCTAGGTCACAAGAGCCTTCTATTTGTTTACTTTGGTTTGTTGGGGCCGTAGACTCATGAGGGGGCGGAGCCTGAGGAGCCGTGGAGCTCTCTAGCAAAAAAAAAAGGCGGAGCCTAAACATAGCAAGGCTTGTTCAAAAAAGGGGTTGAAGTTAACACGAAGCTTCTGGATGTATTGGTTTAGGAATGTGGGACAGAAAAAAAATCTATAAACTGGCAGAACCGATGGGTCACATGAACTCCCTTCTGTTTGTTTGTTTGTGGCCGAACGTAAACAGGGTTTTAACCTTCGAAACTTTAGATTGGCAGTTGTTGGGAAAACGAGGACTGTTTTGGGGGAATATCAATTTTTTTCGGCTTCAGAAAGATTTTTAATAAGCCTGAAAAGGCGATAAATGTTAATAGTTCTTCATTACTTATTTTTCCTATTATACTTCAATTATCTCCTTTTCTGTAAAAGATATCAAAAATTTGTCAACTGATAAAATGTTGGTGATATTATGATAAACTTTTTATCAGTTGAAAAAATTTTAATATCTCTTGAAGGAACCGAGATAATTAAGCTCAAAGTGCCGAGATGCAGTCCTATTAGAGATTTTACGGTAACCAGTTAAAATTGTCCACGTGTTTATAACTAATACCGTCAATGCAGTGGAGTATTCCGGAAACAAATATCAAGGGAATTTTCAAAACAATTTGAAACAGAAATTAATTTTTTATTGACTTCAATTTTTCATATTTTCGTAATTTCAAAATTTAAAAAAACTCACTAATCTCTCCTGCAACGCTAACAACAATAGTTGATTATCGTTAATTGTGTTTCCGGTATCCAAGGAGACAGGCAAATGATTGGCTCCGCCCCCAATCGATGATGAGGCAAATGATGAGGCCGCCGTGGGAGCTTGAGTCGGCCGGGGTAACGATTCCGAGGTGATCATCGGCGGCGCCAGGACGTTGTTCAGCGTCGTGGTGCTCTGATGTCTTTGATTTGGATCCTCCTGAAAATTATTGTACTTTGAGTTGAAGAATGTCTTCAAGACAATAGAAATCAAAGTAGAATACTTGAGAAAAGAGAGGGCGGAGCTTAAGGAAAACCAAGTCATAAAAGTCCAAGTCAGAGACGGACGGATTCAAAAAAGGAAGCGGGTGTGTGTATAAAAGTGCAAACGAATTATGGGATTTCTGGTGTGGGGAGGGCAGAAACGTTAAACCGGGAGAAACCAAAAACAAAATCAACATCCTATTATCTCATGTGATTCCAAGAGAGACCTACGTAAATTGCTTCAATGAAATCATGTTTTCACAAATATTGTACTTTGTGATTTTTGCGATAAATCAGAAAAACTGGCGCCAAAAATATTAGGTAAGATACTTAAGAGATAGGAACAAGAATCAAAAATTCCCTGAAATTCTAAAAATTGAAAACTCCCCTACTTGTATTACCAGTAAAACACTAAAACATCGGATGAGACTGACTGGGGACCTTCTTCTATTTCTTTTTGCTTCCTTCCTATCTCTCTAAATCCTCTCACTCTCTCGCACATCTCCGCAACACTCTTCCTTTGTTTGTCAACACCGGTGTTGGTTTGAGTTTGGGGCTGGGAGGGCTGTGTTGTGTTGCCTGTCTCTTCGTCTCATGCACTATTTCTTGGAGAATCTCGAGATGAGGTCGTCTCGGGATATGTCTATGCAACCTCCCGCAAGCAGCACAAACTGTTGCATGTACAGTCTTTCCCTTCTTTTTCGAGGTTATAAACGAGAGAGGCAGAGGATATAGGATGAAAAGAGGGGGCGAGGTTATTTGTGTTTGTCTCTGGGTGCCACGTCATGTTATTTGCTTAGGAATAAGAAGAAAAAGAAGAGGTCAATGAATTGTATACAAGAAGAAGACGGACTAATGAATGGTAAGGTACAGATGGCAAGGCAATGAAGTTGCGAAATCTCAGGTGAGAAAGTCAATACGGTTACCAAAAAACGAATGTCAAGATTATTGAGCCCAATAATTTTTATATAGGTAATATTAAATTTGAAAAACAGTAACATTTTCGGGATATCGAAGACAATAGAAAACTGATATTAATTTTGAAATTTCAGAAAGTCTAATTGAAAGTTCTTATAAAAGAATGAGAAAATTACGTACTAAAATTTTCGGTATTTTTGAACGTTTTTTCTTCGAAAAACAAATGAAAAGCTAAAAACTTGAAAAATTGGAAGTAGGAAACAAAACAAAACTGAAATTTTTTGAATTTATCCACATTTGGAATTTTGTCAAAAAAAACTTTGTAAAAATTCAAAATAGTTAGTCATAGAAATTATGTTTTACTGCTTCAAAAAGTTTACAAAGTCGAAAATTTTTAGAACATTTTAATAGGCTGGGCTTCGGAAAAACATTACAACTCAATTTATAAAATTAAACAAAAAATGAAACAGAGATCCGGAATTTCCGAAATTTATAAAGTACGACATTCTAGGAATTCAGAAAATCAAAATATCCAGAAATTCTGAAATTTCGAAACTCAGAAATTCAGGAAATTGATTGGTAAAAGACACACAGAAGAATGGTAAAATCCTGTTACAATAGTTTTCAAATTGAATTCAAAACTTTCAAAGCTTATCTTTTCAAATTTACAACACGATCTCCGCATGTTTTCAATATTCTCCCCATTAAATACTCCCACTTAGACGATCAAAAACTTTTTCTTCTAAAACTTGAAAAGACCAAAATCAAGAATTAAAAATTAATTCAAAAATCTCTAAACTTTATTCTATTCAGGATATGTTTGCCTTCTTCTCCCCCAACATCATTTATTTTTCTTAATCTGGTTCCTACAAAGAAAGAAACATAAACATTTTGATTCATGAAAAGGGATTAGATCAAGTCAGTTCTACGAGTCATACAGAGAGATCAAAAAAGAAAGAAGTCAACATATTTTGTGCTCCTCCGTTCCAAAGTGGGCGTGGCTCAAAATTATGAAAAACAGAAACAAGTGAAAACAAGTAGAGAGTATCTTCTTCACTTGATGGGCGTGGTCTCAAAAGAGAAACAAAATGAAACACGGGGAGAAGTATTGTTGGGAGATGGGGGGCAAAATGTGGGCGGAGCTTATGTGTACTCTAGTGCGCACACACTTTTTTGCGGAAGGATGGGCTTGGGGTGGTGGTGGGTGATGCACCAGTTAGCAGCCTCTTTTCTAAATACACACACCGACTGTGTTTTTCGGTTTTTCGGTCGAAGGAGAGGAGGTTGGTTGTGATGATCATATTGAACCTGAAACTATGTGTGTGTTGCCAGTCGACAGTCAGACTTTGCACTTTTCAGTCTGGGTTATAGTACACGAGAATAGACGACCCCCCTCCATGAGAAGAGTTCCTGTCCTAGACAGGTGGTAGAACGATAGAGAGGAAATGAAAGATGATTGTTTGATCAGAGAGAGAGAGAGAGAGAATTTTAAAAGTGCCAATGAAGTGGAGTTTAGGTGATTTTGAAAGGCGATAGAAGCGAATTAGAAGAAAAAAATTGTCTTACTATAACAGAAACAGAATAACATTTTCAGGAATTTTATGAGATATATAGGAGTAGGAATAAAAAATAAAATTTTTCCCGAAAATGTGATAGATCCGAAACAGAATTGATTAGAAATTTTTTAAATTACCAAGAAAATGAAGTTTTGTGGAAATGTCATTTTTACGGTTTCAGATAGTTTTCTTTTTAATTCGAAATGTTATTAAAATTAATTTGTTCTTTTACCCAACCCTGAGTTTTGAGCTCAATTATCCTTGATTCTATGACAGATATAAAAAGTTGTCCATTTATGAATTGTTTATCATAATATCACAAATATTTTATTAGTTGACATATTTTTGATAACTCTTATGGAAACTGAGATTTGGAAATTGGAATACGTTTTTTAATTTTACCTAAAAATGGAATAGTTCTGAAACAGAAAAATAATTTCAGAATTCTCGTTTCTTGAAGTATTTGGTTTCATATTTTGGTTTCGATGTTTGGTTTATTTAATTTCGGGAAATGGCCGAATTTTTTTTGCTTTTTTCAGATTTTTTTTTCAACTGGAGGTTTCACTGGTTGAATTCTCCAAATTTCCCCCTTGTATAAAGAAGCATGCACTTTGAGCTCAATTATCTCAGTTTCTATGAGAGATATCAAAAAACGGCCAACTAATAAAATATTGGTGTTATTATGACAAACATTTTATCAGTTTACTAATCTTTACTACCTCTATTGGGAACCGAGTTAATTGAGCTCAAAGTGCAAACATAGGGTGGCGAGTATTTACAGGTATTTATGAAATGGAACGATGGAAAATCTGATTACTCACAGTTAGAAAGTTGAAACAGAAAAAATCAATTTTTAGAGAAAAAATCGATGATCTAGCATTGTCCCCTACGCTATCCAGAACACATTACAAGACTCTGATACAGTAAGTCTCGCAAAAAAAAAAACTAAAATTCCAGAATAGTCTGAAAATCGGCAAGACCGGAACTATCAGGAATATTTGGGAAAACTCATTTTAAATGCTCTATGATCCCTATTTTGGGATTCCAAAATTCTAGAAATTCAACTAAAAATTTCAGTCAAAATTTTCAACTGATAAGGCATTTGATTTCAAAGTTCCAGATGAGACATGTTCAGACATCAGCTGATTTTCGATATTACTATTTATATTCGAAATATCGGTTCGTAAAAATAAGTCAGAACAGCTGAAACTCGATTCCCTTTCTCATGACCTAGATTTTGAACTCATAGAATTTCTAGACTGAAAACGACGTCAAAAATGGAGGAGCAGAATTCGAATATAAGAATAGTCTGATGGGCTCTTTTAAAAAGTGCATCTTCATAATATTCTATGCATGCAAACATTTCTGATGGCTCCAGATCAAAACAGAAACAAAACAAGAAGAAGTGAAAAAGAAGGCGTCACGGATAGAAACTTTCCGCGTGGCTGAAAGTCGTGAACTTGGCTGTTCCAGTTTTTTCAAAAAATAGAGACATACAAAAAGGGGGGCGGAGCCTTAATAAGGAGAAAATAGGAGAATGGGACAGAATGGAAGAAACGGAAGAAGAAAACACAAACAAGAAAAAAGGGAATACGAGGAATAGTGGGCGGAGCCTGAAGAAGGAGAAGCTGAAGACGTCTGGTGGTCGGAAAACAAGAAGAAGATGGAGATGAAGATGGAGATGAAGTAGAAAAGAAAAGAAGAAGAACACCCCGAGAAGATGAAAAAGCATAAACAATAACAACAATATTCATAAAACGAAATGGTAAGTGATGAGGAGGAAGAAGAAGAGGAGAAATGGTAATTAGATGAGAAGAAGAAGACGTGTGTTTTTGTTTATTCTAGAATACAGGATTCTTGAGTAGAAGGAGAAGAAGAAGAAGATGAGGTGGTGGAGAAAAAAGAGAACAGGTGTGAGTAAACAAGATTCAAGAGGAGTATGGTAAGGTGATATTCACACCTTCTTAGAGAATTTGGGATAGTGGATCAGAGTGCTGGGAAAGAACAAGGGTATTCAGAATATGGGCTTACAGGTTTTAGGGTATTTGAAGCTCGGAATCTGTAGATTTCTAGATTTCTGGAATTCCAGTATTTAGAACTTTTGAATTCGGACTGACTTTGAACTGACTTGTAGTAACACGAGGGACTGTATTGCAGTTCAGGTATAACCAAAAAAAATCCGGTTTCAGTCAGTTGTCTTTGTTTTTAAAATTTCAGGAATACCAGTGAGATTATCCCATATGTTTTTTGATTAGTCTACCGTATTCCTTTCAATAGAAAGCAGCACTATGATTCTTCTTTGAGCGCAATTATCCCGATTGCTGTGTAAAATATCTGAATTTTGTCAACTGGTGAAATATTTGTCGTAATATCATCTAGATTTTACCAGTGTACATATTTTTGATATCTCTTATGGAAATCG